CCCCTTTTTTTCACAGATATAATTTCAACCCTCACCCCCTCCCCCCTCTCCCCAATGTTTCAATTGCAAGGCCTCCACAATGGGTGGGAAGGGAAGTTTTCTCCAGTTAGTTGAGCCCCTCCTTTCCTCGTCGTCCACCACCGTGATGGATTAATGACGGTACTTCTGCCCTACGCTGAGACGTGGATAGGTGAAAACAGATCTGTCTTGGATCCTTGCGGCTTTAATCCGTCCCACTGATAAAGGAGTGCAATATACTTCCAGAGCAAAGCACGTACTTCGGCAGGTGTACGACGATCAAAGTTCTAAAATGGCCTGATCAAGCCACAGGTGCACTACAGTACAGAATCTAATCCAGAAAGTCAATTCTGTCGAGGAAGGGAGGAAACTTCAATATATTGCTTCCACAGTCAAGGCTCCCAAGCTTATAAACATGGTAGGGGTTTCAAAGTGGATCACATGTTCACAAAAACAGAGGTTTCGTCGTTTTGAATGTGTGTGGGCGGGACAACCTGGAGCGAATCTGACCACTGGCCACTCGCAGACGTCCTATCACGTCCAATCACGCCCTGAATGGCTGACCACTGGGGAACCGCATCAACCGTAATCCGCCCACATACGCCACCTTAGCTTTTACGGAGTCCTTTTTAACTCCCTGACCGATGTAGTTATTAGCAAACCCTTCCCAACTTTAACGACGAAATAAATTCTGAACGTCATAAGGCCTCAGATCATCAACTTCTTCAAAACCTTCCAGTGAAAGAGTCATCAGTCGAAAAAAAGAGAACGACAGCGATAAAGGGATGATTTTTGCTATTAGATTATGACGTAGAAAGGGTGATCGTACTAGAAGAACGAGTAATCTATCTTCCGTAATCTCCTGGGAAGGTGCAGGAGGCTCATTTTCAAAGTATTTAAACTGGGTCCTAAAAACTTAGAGCTGGAAGTTCAACCACTCAATGAAACACATAGGGATGCTCTACTGGCTTATTTTCACCCCATTCATTCGTCCGAAAAAAGAAATGATCCCTCTATACAGTCAGCTTGGACCCTAGTTGCATTTTTTTTNGACTCATTTCTCACAAGCTCATTTGGCTATCTATCTGAGGCTCTTCTTCCTATCAACACGTAATAAAAAGTGCGTACAACGAGCAGCTGCTGTTTAGGCACCTTACAGTATAAGCCAAGTTTCAAGTACACTCATCAATCAACAGTTTTTTATGAGCACCACATGTGGTCCACGGGAATGCCATGCTCCCGAGTATTCATCAAAGCAAGTCAGTTATACAGTGGGAAAAAAGAAGAGATCGCGTGCGGAGAAACCCCTAGAAGTGAATCGAATTTCCCAGTAATCCTCATAGGAACTCCAACTCGGCACCAGTGCGTCTCCTGAGCGCATCAGGTAAATTTACATAGAAACCGGAATCACGGGATCTTACCGGGCGTTTTTAGTTGAGTCTCTTCTATACGTAAACACATCCCCTCTCAACTCTAAGGGTTAAAAGTAAACAAGTGCTTTTGTTCTGATGGCTATGACAAATTCTTGCTTCAGAGGGATCCTTCATCTAGGTTGCTTATTCTGGGAATTTCTGAATGGCAGGGATGGATAAGCTAGGACTCGTTCACGCAAGAAAAATCCTATGGAGTTTATAAGCTTGCGACCTGCTGGACCCTTACATCTTGGAACAAACAGCCCTCAAGAAAACTCCCTTGATCGATGTTGACGGTTTTACATAACGAGGCGGTACATCGACCCGGAAGAAACAATAAAAACACCGGAAGCAAAAGCAGTTTACGACCAAGACGGCCGCGATTTCCACGAAATTAACCGGAAGTTCGATCACGTAACCGGTCGCTTCTAAACTTTCACCAATTTCAGAAACTAGACAAAACCTGTATCTGCTGGGTAATAAGGTCGGGGAAGGGTTCCGTCAAAAAAAAAAAAAAATTCTAGCCGTGTTTGTAGGCGTCTCTTGACCGTGTGAGCGGTGTTTTTGAGAGCATTGGGTAGCTCCTATTAGTAAGTTACCTCATTAGAAAATGAACTAGCAAATGAGCAATATATATTGGTCAAAAAATACCGCCTACATATGCTTCCTCCGCTCAAGGGATGGAGCGGATGGTCTTGTATGGTAATCTCAGACCCAACTATTTACACTCAGACGGTAAATAAATCGCTTGAATAAAATTAGTAGCAAAACACGTTCCGTTCTGCTGCCTGCGAACTTCGCAAAAATGAACCTAATGACCAACCTGGACCCGGACAGGAACGAAACCATTGCGTCTGGACATGTCGCCATCGACACCAACCATGCGAAAAACATCACACAACAGAGGATTACGATCACAATGATTGCTAATAACTCGTCCATTTCTGCAATATCCTTTTGAAATATTCAAATTTGTGCACCAAAAGCGGTAAAGAAAAGTTCGAACGAGCGGAAAATGCAGACATCTCGAAAACACCGTTTCCAGCTCACAATCAGAGGCCGATAGTGAGAGCGTTGGGGCGTGGTTCCTGAGACCTTTGGACATTTCCCACTTGCGGCTTGTCTGGTGTTGAGAGTGAATCAACAAAAAGTAAAGTGCAACGAATCTACAGGGCCTCAGAGACCACACTTTTACGCTCACTCAACACTTTCAATGTCTTCAAGGAAACAAAAAGAATCTGATAGATAATATGGTAAAAGAAACTACAGACAATCCGGCGTCAATCCGGAAAAAGGAAGATTTTAACTACAAAATGATGAAGCTATGGGCTGATCGAGATAGGGTATTAATATTGAGACGTGAACTAATAAAAAAAACATTCGAAAAAAAAAAACGATTGCAAAGACCTGAGGGAAGACCTGAAGGGAACACTGAAAGAAAATAAAGACCCGCCCTCAGTGGGTGGGGCGTGCGCTTGACCAACAGTACTCCAACCGGGAACTCTCCATCGGGCAACACTACTGCCCAAAGTGTCAAATTTGACAGAGACCTCTCACAGTGTTCAAGATGACGGAACAGAACAAATCAAAACTGGATTACCCACAAACAGGCTCTACTGGCTTGAAAGGAGCCTAACCAATACCGTAGCGATTCAAAGCTTACCTTACCCAATTACATACTAGTAAATGGATATTTATGCCACATGGCCGACTCGTAACCACTCACTTCCGACCAGCATATCCGATTGGGTCTTTGTAGTCCTAAATGGCCGTAAACAGCCTGCTATCGTTACAGATCAGTATGGAGGAAGTGTTATTCAAGCCCTCAGAACGCACACAACTTCCGAGAAAGCAGTGAAAGCTTTTCCCATTCAACTGGATTTAGGAAGGTTCGAGAGAGAAAAAAATTGAATATGCTGCTAAATTAAAACGGAATAAATAGGCTGATGGTGAAAACGTTGGGTTTATATGCACGAAGGGAACGGCATAGCACGGAAGTGCACGTGATGGCGCTGACCGTGAGAAAACCAGACCAGAGAGGAGGGAAGAGAGAAGAGATAATTTCACTGAACTGACAAAGCAAGTTCGTAGAAGATTTCAGCTGCAATCAGCCATTATTATACTGAATACATCAAAATCCCATCATGTATTACATAATATTTTCGCTATACAAAAAAAAACAAGCTGCGCTCTGTGATAGAATATTCAAAGGAGGTTTATTTCTGGACAGTTCGAATGAAATATGTATTAAAGAGGGACTGAATAAGGGAACGATTGACAGTGTGTTTGATGGGGTTTTACGGAAAGCCCTTTACTTAACCCAAATTCGACGCTGAAATCATAGAGCTTATAGCAGGTGTTCGGAAATGCTTAGTAACGATGACCGAGACGGTAACGAATGACGTTGTTTATATTTACCAACGATTAGGTTGGAGTTTACAACCCCGGGCAACGCCTGATAAAGTCAAACTGAGGGGTAAATAAGATAAGTAGCCCCGCAGTAGGTAAACATNATTGAACTATCTAGTAACAGCGGACAAAGGCTGATAAAATCTGCCTTTACAACAGTGTCAGACCTACTGGAGAAGGATCTTTTGACAACTTGTGTGGCAGAGAAAAAGCCAATTCACCGATCGGTCTTTATCACCACAATTCAGCTCTACAGGGAGAAAGAACGAGTGGAACTCCTTTTCATTGCGGAATAAGAAAAGAAGAGAGAAAAACAACGTTCAGGAGAAAAACAAACTCACTCATCATGAGGAACATCTGAAAGAGGGACCCCGTCTTTAGCAATTTCGTTGAATTCCTACATAGACTTGGATTTAGAAATGATTTTTTTAAAAGTGAAAACGAGCAAAGGACATACTATTTGATGGGGTAGGCGTGGTATAGTACCCTGTTGGCGGTTTTGGAGAACAAAAGCGTTTATTGTTACACAACGTCAAGCTTGCGTGGAGATCGTGTAAAGCGATGGCAGTCGCTAACAATAACATGGACATTCGTACTCAAGCTCTACTACTGATCGTCTGTTGGGAAGGCACGTGAGTAAGAACAAAACAAGGGTTGAAGTCCTTTGACTTCAATCAACCCCTTTGTAAGATGCGCCCACTGCATTCGAGTTCTATTCAGTATCGTGGTGACCTTTGAATGTATATGTATTTTCAACTAGGCATGGCTGACACATGAATAAGCCGGTGCTTTTATCGTCCCAGAGAAGTCTAGTACCCATTTGCCACCCGAAGGAACAGAAAGTTTGATCGGCAGTGGGCATCAGACGGATTCAATCCCTGAACCCATATGTAAGCGCGTCAATTGAACAGCACCACTTCCGCTTTGCGGTCTGGGTAACAAACAGTTTCAAACAATAGTCTATTGGAAGATATAAGAATTTTTCAGTAAGAAACAGAATCATAGCCTATGTGTGTCAAGTGCTGGTGGAACGAACAGGGAGGGGTAGAAAGAGGACAGTCGAACAATTGTTAGATGGTAAAAGTAAGTAAAAATGGCACTGGTCATGAAGGAGGAATACCTGACAGCAATATTAATCCAAAGAATGAAAAAAAAAACATCAAAGGGTTTAAGGCCATGTTTTGACGTCAAAAAATAAGGAAAAGCTCCAGAGAAGAAATGAAAAGGGGAAAAATTTCATTGAATTTGTGGGCCAAAGTAGTTGAGTGATATATGGAAGGACTGAGCAAACTAGTTCTCTGGGAAGCCACAGCAGAAGAAAGAATTGGCACCAGACAAGCCATCAGTTCAAAGTTCACTATGCAGCAGAGTGTAGGTCCAAAAGACCGTTGCAAAACTGGATGAAAGTTCAATGAACGGTACTTTCTGATGATTGAATGATGCTCAGCAATCAATTTTAAATTCCGCCATCGGGGATTTCGGCAAAATAATGAAGACTTATTGAAACGTCATGAGATTTCAAAGACCAGTATCAGCAGGCCAGAGGTACAACTCTAGCAACAGAACAAAAAAGGCCGTACGAATTTGTGTAAATTGAAAAGAGTAAATTATGAGCTTTAATAGAATCAGCTTGAAAATTAGAATAAAAATGCTGGTATTGAATGATGGGAAAGACATTGTTGACAGCTCGTCTGAGGCTAAGTCACAAGGATCAGAGATGAGGGATTAGCCCGTCATAATATTGCTGATACAAGAAAAGGACGTAGCAAACAACCCCAGATCCTATCGTATTCTGAAAAACTCTTCATAGTCGAGTAATTCAGCTACCCTGAATTATGATATTGGTAAGTTGCTTATATTTGTAGTACATACTTCTAAGAATACATACTGACGATCGAAAATCTGTTGTTCCAGCTGGGAACAACAGCGAAAGCGTTGGCTATAAATCTTGTCACTCAAACAGTAAACCGCAACAATTCGCCAGAAAAACTTATTTACCGCCATTCTACACGCTACACGAAGTTCCCCTATACATGATTATCACTTGGAACTCCTAGGTATTTTACTTGTCTACTATATTACTCCTTGAGCCGTCTACACGATCTAAAGAAGTAAAATGCTCAACTAAACCGAAGTAAAAACTAGAAGAAAGGGCAAAAACCAAAAAGAAGCAGGCAGACTAAGTTCTGAACTATCCTACGTGCTCCGGCTATAGAGAGAGGTTGCTTTTCCAAATAACAAAATTCAGTTATTTCAGGAAGGCCTGATCCTTCGTTCGAAACACTCGGAGACCATACAGTATTGTACCAGGAATGACAATGTAAGACCATACCCAGCAACCCCTAAAGGATCAGTTGGGGTGAAAATACATAAACAAATCTTACAGTAAATACGAAATAACAGCTAATCGGGCCCCTGTACGAATGGAAAAAACAAGTTCCTTCATTTACAACGAGCATTCGAGGGTTCAACTGTAACACTACATAGAATCTCCTTCAACACAGTACAAACAGCAGGTAGAACTACTGAGGCAGACGTAGAACGACGCAATATGATGCCGTTGCCACGATGAATCAAACCCAGAGATGTTTCTATAGTTTTTTCTTCTTCCATAACACTTTTCTCCAAACCTCGGAGAATAAAGTATGAACTCTAAAGTTCATGAAAACGTTTATCGAATGAGTGCATGTGTACCAATCCACGCTTGTTCCTGTACCCCGAGACAAGGAAGGGGTACATGTGACGGAATACGAGCTTTTTCCTTACCCGGAAGTGAAAAGGGAGTCAGATGCGAATCGTTTCACAAACCCCATGTGACTTTAGAACCGTCGACAGGTGCGTAACCTTATCAGATTAGTGAAAAACTCGTTCGAAATAGATGATTACGACCAGGACCCTTCTTCAGCGGTACGTGATACAGTCGATATCAATACGATCAAAACTGCATTACTACTTTGGTCCCCAATACCCATGGGAAAATCAAAGAACGAGATAAACGGGGTTCCAAGTTTGAGATTACAGCTTATCTCGTAGACCAGAACAAAGGCCGGACCTGATCCATGTTTTTTCGTTGGGCCCTTCCTCCGGCTCTAATCCGCCTTCCCACTGTTATTTGGGACCCACATTTGTAACCGTCCTCGATACATAGTTTGATCAGAGGTTTAGACACACTGTTTTCTGTTTACCATGATGAGAGTCAACAAAATTATCATTTACTAAGCAGCTTTCATCGATGGCTTATCAGCTTAGGGTTAATAAAAGGCCATTCTGCTTATCTAAGCGACCCTTTGGCACATCGTAAAATAGTACTTTGCACACTTCTAAGGGATAAGAACCATAGAGAAACCTCAGTAGAAGAACCGGCTACAGAGACGAAAGCAAAAAATGGCGACGGCATTGACGTCATGAAGAGAATGGCATAATAACAGAGCTGTCAAGGTAGTAAAAAGGAGTAATAAATCGCCAAAAAGCAGACGATAGTCTACAGATTCAGAGGAGAAGATGGTAATCGGAATACTCAAGACAATAGCAGT